GTGGCGCTATCAACCTTCAACTCAGGCCAGAGATGACGTGCCACTCCAGATCTTGGTTCTTTCCCCGAGCTTCGCACTAGCTGCAGCCCTGCGCGAGGCTCCCTGGATTGCTCAAAAGGCACAGATCACTGCCATGGGAGGGAGTCTTTGGCATGGCACCAATGGAACTGGGCCACCCCTTGCGGAATGGAGTGTAAAGGCAGTATCTCGGCATATATTATATGTATTGCTTTACAGACACGTGGAGTCACGCACTGTGCCTGTTTGCTTCTTTTTGTGACTGTGACTGCTAGTGTTTCTGGTATTTTCTCCTTGTTGGGGTGTTCCTTGTCCGGAATAGCTATAAAAATATATATATATATATATACAGTTTATATACACAGTATATGCCATGTACACAAAAGTGCAAATCAGAAAGCACATATATATATATATGCCATATACAAAAGCGCAAATCAGAAAGCACATTGGGGCGTACTGTGCCACCATGCTTTGATGCATACAAAATGCAATCATTTGATATACTATGCGGCATACTTCAGTAGTTGTTTGAACGGTCAATGTCAAGAACGTGATCAAAGAATCCCACTAGGTGTGATAGACCGACAGTTGTGGTCGAATGGCAAGGACGTGGCTAGCAGTCTGGAAGTCTATCCGCACGTCTCAAGGCTATGTCCATTGGATGTTGCCGGAACTGCTCAGATCGATGGCGCTGAATTTCAGGAGTTGCTCAACTGCCCCTTCGCCAAAGCAGGAGTTGTGCAATGTGGTTCAAAGAACATGAACCAAAGGGAAAACTTTGAGGTTTTCAACTGAAGTATTAGGAGTACCAGGATCTGTGCAATGGTCTCAATACACAACATGGAAACCTGAGGCTTAAACATGAGGTGGACCACCATGAACTGTTACCTTTTGCCTCAGCCTCTTGCTGCTTGCGAGGTCAAGGGCAAGTGCCCGTCGTGAAAGCGCTCCTTGAGATGTTGCCCAGTCGCACTTTCGGTGATTGCTACTTTATCTCATGACTGTAATTATTGCACATCACGCAAGTTGTAGTTTCCTAGACAAATAGGCTCAGGACTCAGAACAGAAGTGACCATTTTTCATCACCAGTTATCACAGATGATATACGTGGACATGTAATTCCCTTTCAAGCAGGACATTTGCTCATAGTAGCTTCTTGTTACTAGTAAGGATGCTCCTAGTAGTACGGCCAGGAGCCCCTAGTAGTGTCCAACGATGCCAGGAGCCCCCAGTAGTTTCTTGTTCCTAATAGTAAGGCCAGGAGCCCCTAGTAGAGTCCTTGCTCCTAGTAGCGGTGCCCTTTGCTCCTAGTATTAACACAGACTTTCGGCCGATTTCGGCTGCCAGGTACTGGGCTTGGTTGCCACGATGTCCATGGCGCAGTCCGCTGGATGGGCCGAAGGGGCCGGCGGATCACGCGAGGTCCTCCGTGATCTACGACTTGGCGGCGGCCACGATGCTGCCGGCTTCTTGGATGATGCTTTTGATGCTACTAGGGGCTCCTGGCCTTACTACTAGGAGCAAGGACGCTACTAGGAATTCTTTGCAACATTGAAATGACGCACATGATCACACATTCTTACAAGATGAGCTGTGCAAACCCTGAAATGGTGGGCTGATAGGTTTGGGGACTGAAGAGGCCTATGACCAAGGTCTACTGAATCCACTGGGGGGTTCAGTTGATGGGTGCTGGACTGGCAGCATGCAGCTGTGGATTCCACAAATGGTTCTTTGGGCCATATATATATATATATAAACCTCTCCTTCCTTCATGGTGTCCCTGGCAGCGTGAGGGACTGCGTTTAGGTATTGTACCTGTTTCACGCTTTGTAACAGGATTTGTCGGGCCATATATGATTTACCAAGCATGGAATACCTATTTTCTCTTCCAACCTCTTGAAGGAGAAACAAGCAGAGCCACCGATATAGGCGCCCTTAAGGTGCGTGGATAAGTACTTCGGAGTGAACTGCAGACTCTTTGGAGCCACAGGAGCCACATGGAGCTACTGTCTTTTGAGCAAACTCCGCTAAGCTCTTCTTGCGAGCTTGCTTTATTGTTACTAGTAGTGATGCCCTTGTTACTAGTAGTAATGCCAGGAGCTACTATATAGTAGCTTTTATTCATGTTGAGTCCTGAGGTCTATTCGAGCGAGTTCATGGAGCTTCGCGAGGTGAATCTCACCATCGACTCACAAGGCTTCACACACCCAGACGGACGGGGTGGATGGCCAATGGTGGCAGGGGTCTCCTGGCGGCGGCAGATGGAGTGGGAGAAGACGGTGGTGCAACTGTTATGTAGCTTGGCAGCTATTCAGCTACATTTGCGATTCGGCTGTGAATATTTCAAGTGGGTAGGGTTCTTTTGAAGCCTCGTGCACAAAGAGAAGAAGCTGTGGACCAGAGATCAAGAAGGGGTGTGTTCAAAGCACGCTAATTACGTGAGACGGTTCCCGTGATTCTTACTGTCATGTTTTCTCACTTTTGGTTTGGGCTTCAAGGCACTCGAGGTGCTGCAGCCAAAGTGATCCTTTGATCCTCAAAGCATGGCTGATTGCTTCGCGTCAAAAGTCCGACTGCCTTGTTCCAAGTGGATGCAGGTACAGAGTTTCGGCACGAACACGAGCTCAAGGTAATGATGCCAATCGGTAGGTAGACGATCGTGGCCATGTATAGTTGTTTTTTGGTTTGCTTTGGTGGACACTGCCTTTGCAGTCCTGCGTTTTTCTTCACTGCTTTGCTAGGATCAAAACGATCCTGACGCAACTGCACTGGCATGCATCTCAGAGGGGCTTCTTAGATTCTCATTCAAGTGTGCCACCAGACGTGTTAAGACTTTGACTGGACTTGGACTTGATCCAAATGACACAAGAATTTGGACATTGTTGGCTTGAATGTTTTTGGTAGAAGTCTAAAGGAGTAGCATAGAGCAATTCACACCCGCGGTGCAGGTGCAGGAAATCTCATTTGTTGTGCTGTGGCAGAGCGTCAAGCTATGTAATGCCATGAGCAACATGTGTTCCAAGCATTTACGCCCTGCTGGTATATTTTACGTTGCTACTTCATAAAGTGTCTTGATGTATCTTGAACAGTCATGCTTCCCACGATCCCCTCTCCATGTGCAAAGAGCTCCAACTCTATATACTACTACATATTATATATATATAGATATAAATATATGGACCAAGAATAAGGAACACCCTCTACAAACCTGTATAATGGCAAGGTCACCCAATATGATGATCCTGGGAACTGGTAGCCCGTACCAAGCTGGGACACGCTGCCTTTGATCGTGCTCAGATCGAGCGTGTGGTGCCCATCATATACTCTTGATGCTATGGAAGAGGATGAATGTATTCATTGGAGAACCCTAATTAACTAGTTTGCTGGAGTTTGCCACGGATTCTTCATTGCCAGCTTTTTAAGATTACGACGCAGAAGTTGCTGATACTTGCCGCACGATATGTTCGTTGTTCCCTGTGTCTTGAACTCCAGCAAAAGGTTCTCCATAAGCGCGCAGAATTCTTTATGGCCAACTGGCCAGAACAAGAATCGCAGGTGATGGCAAGCCTTTGCCATTCATTTAAAACAGTGAGCAGAGAGCTTTGCTTGGCCAAACATTCTCATGTTACATTCTTGGTGGAAGAGCCATGTGTTTGTGTTCGCTACTTCGGCTACTTGACTGTATCCCATTCAAATAGACACTTACAGTACAATACTCATACTCAGTGGTGCCCTTCATTCATGTTGATGCTTCATGATCCTCCACCACGTGATTTTTGCTTGAAAATACCAGTTCTCAACTCAGCTCATGTCAACAGGCGGAAGCGGGTAGATGCAATGTATGATCCGAATCCCTAACTCATGTTCCAAAATATATAGAATGAACCCGGTCCCATCTCCCTTATCCTTTATGAAGGCTCCCACAATGGCAAGGCACGGAGACTTACCTAGTCATAACAACATGCTGTGTGTTTAGGAACACCAGCTCTACTTTCAAGACATCCTATTTCAAGAGGCTCTCGACCATGTTCCGTGTTCCTCTCGGGTATTTTGCTGCTGAAAGGAGGCAGCGATTCCACACCATGAAGTCTGCGGAAGAGGGGAAAGCAAAAGGAGACTGACTGGCATTTTGTCATCTACAAGTCAATAGCAAGGTTGTCGTGTGCTGTAGAATCAGAAAGCTTGTTCTTCATGTGAGTTGTGAAATGTCTTTTTGGCCCGAATGTATTGGTGCATGCGCATTCCGTTGCCATAGCCGTCTTTTTCAGCTTGGCCCTGTTGGGCGTGGCCCCGTTTTGCGGGTCTGGCACCTGGGGTGCAGGATGGCATGGGAAATGGGCGAAAAGAGAGCGGAGAGATTTGTTCAGGCATTCGGCTCTCCCAACTGTTTTGGAGCGAGCGCCTTTGATGAACCATATTACCAGCTCCAAGTAGGGCCGAATCCTTCTGAAGAGGTCGCCAATCAAGTATGCCACATGTATTCTACTGATTCCTGTCCTATATACCGGCTGTGTGAGCATGTTTTGAACCGTTTGGGTGTTTCAATTTCCTACATAACATCCAGACTCCAGACTGCAGGGTGTTCTGCTGGGCTATCGCATCCGGTGGGTTTCGGTGGATGCTCCAGGCTCCAACTCCACATGGCTCCATTGCCACAGCTACACTCCGACGAACACGTCACATGGAAGTGGAAAATGGAAAATGGTCTCTTGGAAGACTACTTTCCTTTACGAACAGGTGGTTTTCCACTTCCATGATGGGCATAAACCTGTGCAGCTAAGTTGACGCAAATTGTGCGTTCATAGTAGTGGAGGGGTGTGATGTAGAACAGGTGAGCTTAGATGTCTAGGGGTCCCCAAATCTTGTGCAGAGCATTCTGCGCAGTACTACTGATACACCTGATAGAAGAAATCCTGCATCACCCTTCCCTGTAGACAAACTTCCCTTTTGCATGTCGTGGACCTCCAGGGAAGCCACCAATGGCGACGCGAACCATCTTGCAGTCGCACTTTGGCTGCTATTGGAGTGCTTTGCAGATCACAGGTCACTCTATGTTCTTGTGCAAAGTTCGGACTGGACTCAACAACTTAAAACTCTTTGTTAGAGGGTAGAAACACTAGTGGTGAAAAGGCGGTAGGTTTCTCAAGTAATGCCCGCATGAATTTTGGAACTGTGTGTCTATGAGGGAAGTTGTGCGGACAACTTGCACTTTCGCACAGACGTTTGTTGTATATACTTTGGTCCATCAAGTCTTTGTTTGCAAAAGCCCAACAATCTCCAGAGAAAGCATGTTGCTTTCGAGTGTTTGTCTTGCGTATGCCTAAAGCGGGGGGCTGCTTGACACTCAGGAATCGGGCCTATGATCATATTTACGTGGCAGTCTCAGTGCAGATCGAAAGGCCAATCCTGTCAGCTCTGAAGAGCTTCTGGTGTGACCAAGCCAAAAGCTCGAGTAAAGGCAAGTTGGGGTGGCACCTACTGAAGGCCAAATGGATCATGGCAAACTTGGAGCTGGTTCTGTGAAAGGTCGCAAGAGATGCAGAACTGAAAAAAGACCAAGGGCTGCCAATGAAAGCATTTTTTGAGTATGCTGCAATACTTATGTCATTTGATGTCCCACTTCCGCATGTCCAACCTGGTGATTTGCTCTCTTTGAGGATCCGACCTATACGACGTCTCACCCCAATGATCATTACAGGCAGACGAGCAAGGCGCTAATTTGCGGGTTTGCGCTGCTTTGCGCTGCAACTGCTCATCTTCCCACTTGAAAGTGATCATGACTGTTGGGGATTTAGATTGCAATGAATAGAGGCAACATGAAACAACAGTAATATGAGATAATGGATGCTAGTGGCTGACCGAGCCAATTGCAGCCAAGTTTACGTTTTTTCGTCAGGACGAAGGTTCGTTCTTTTCTTTAGACCTTTAGACCCTTTTTTAAGTTTGACCCTCGCTCGTGTTTACACTGCTCGACTCCGGACAGCTTCAGTTTGGGTATGTAGCTTGCAGATTTTCGGGAGGATTGCAATTTTGGAGTACTGTAGGCCCGTGAGTTGCCAACCCCGCTCCCACTTTGTCCACTCGACCTTTTTGTTTTGGTCCTTGCATTAACCATCACGCAGTCACTTCCGTGAGAATAACAACAAATAATACCATGGCGTGTAAATAGCATAGTAGAGGATCTTTATGTTCGGCAAGACCTTGTGTGATAAGTCACATCGGGGGCCAGGCGATGTTCAATGCCCAGCGCATTGAGCGAGCATGGAGCTAAGCAGAATTAACGGAGCTGAGCAGAGCATCTTCATTCAGTGAGCATTGTAAGCATCAAGATGTTGCTGTACCACAAGTGGTGAAGAAAAGGCTTGCTGCCAGACATGTCATAGAGCACATTAGATAGTGCAGGAGAGTGCAAGGTCCAAATTATTGTGGTTCATAATATGGAAGGAAGAACCTGCTGTATGAAGGCCCTCAGTGACTTGATCTCATTACCAGTCTTGCTGCAGCTGAGGTGCCCGATGACAAGTACATGTTCTCGGAGCTGCCTCACTATCCTAGATGTACCATTCAGGTGCCTGAAGTTGCTTAGCTTCCAAGAAGGGTGAGGATCGTTTTCACACACCAACAACATCATCACTGGGGCAATGCGAAAGCAGGTGCCTAATCTGGATGATGGTTCTTGATTCTACACGGTCGATAGTCTTGCACCTCATCCATGTGAAAAGGACATGTCAGACACCGTAAGCCTCACCGCTCGATGGCATCCTTTTGCCCAAAGCGAGCGTGAACCCTGCGGCTCGGCCGGTCTTCGAGGGCGTCCGGCTATGCGGTTGGGTCGGAGGTGGCTGGGCTTGCAGAATATGGGCGTCGAATCTCATCAAATCTCCTGACTCATCAGGGACGTTCAAGTATACTTGCTGTGATGTTTCAGCAAAACATGTGGCCTGTTTTCCTTTAAGTCTGTGTGTTTGGTTTTAGAGTCTTGAGGAGAGACAGTCTTGAGAAACTGGACACGGAGCGTCATTAGACTGACAAGGCAGCACATGAGATTAGTCAGATTAGTGGCCTGACTCGAGCATGAGAAAGGTCAGGTGGCTTTTGCGTTGCAAACTCTAAGCAGCGGCAGGATCCACTTTTTCAAGACTCCTTGCTAGAGACAAGTGTCGTGGTGTCATGGCATTGCTTCTTTCTGCCTCACGGGTTCCAGGCGTGTGATCCCTCTTTTGGGGCTTTTGCTCCTTGCCTTTGGTTCCTGGAGCTTTGTGGGCGGCATCCGACCGCAGATGAGGCCGGATTTGTGGACCGTGAGATTGTGAGAGGCCAGAACGAACCCTACCAGGCCCTAGTTTGGAGTTGGAGATTAGGTTGGAAAGGTGGCACGGAGACTCCAAGAGTTGTGCTCCCCGCCCTTCGATTCCCACCCATGTATAATCATGCTATATATATATATGTGTATATGCATATAAGTCCTTCAGAGCTTCAGTTTCGGCTTGAACATGAGGCCGGGCTTGGAGATGGGTGCTGAGAAAGATGAGAAACCAGCCCCAGAGAAAAAGAGTCGCATGGCATGCATGTTCTGCAAAGCGCTCGGCTTTTTGGAACATCCTGTCGAAACAATACGGTAGTAATATAATGAAAGTCTTTTGTCTTCATCTTTCAATGTGAGACGTACCTCCCAAAATGAAGGTAGCGAAACAGCTAAGCGCTATGAGCAAAAATATACAAGGCTGTACAGTCTGCATGGGTACATCGTATGTGCAGCCTTTCATGGCTTTTGACACGTTGCTTTTTCGCCTTTCATGGCTGTGACGCTGCAGGTTCGGGCTTCTTCTCAGACCCATTGGATGGCACACCTTATGACACTTGGGCGGGATCGGTCATGAAGGATCACTTCCCTTCACCACCAATCTGATTTCAGTGTTGGTATGTCTCGGCTTGGTGCCTTCAATGAGCATGCACATTGCACATGTTTGTAAGTGTTCAAGCTTGGGTGCTACTAAAAACTGAGTCAACTTGCAGGGATTTGAATGTTGGGTGTCTCTTCTTGTTGCGAAGGCGGTTTGGCTCTTGGACATCTGAGGAGACGAACGAAACCACTGCTGCACTGATCTTTGCTGTTGCTGGTGCGTTGTCCCTCAGCTCAAGAATTCTGTCACAATGTTCCTTCAGCGATCCAAAGAGACAAGGAAAGTGTTTGCTGGCCTGTATCGAAGAATCAGCTGCCGATTTGACTCGGTCTTCTGACCTTGACCCACTCTAAAGCACAACTTTTGTGCGTGTGTTTGGTGCTGTTTTCCCATCTTGTGGTGCTTTTCGTGTTTCATTCCCTTGACTTGAGATGTTGCATGATGTTGCTATCAAGGAAATTCAACATGATTCCAACCTAGAACAAAAAAGAAAAACAAAACAAAACACAACAATTGGATTCGACCTGCATCATTCCACCGAGGTTTATCGTACTGGTTTTGGGTCCGTCCTTCGAGACCTACTTCTCGGTGCTCGGCAACCCTCCTTGAGGAGAGCAGTCGAGCAGTCGAGTGTTTGGCCGGTTCGGCGAATACGGTGAAAACACGTCTGAAGAAGCATCGTTTTTTTTTTTTTTTTTTTTTTTCGGGGAAGACACATAGGGCTTCGGTGAATGAACAGATGGACAATTTAAGGAGCATTGAGAAGCCTCTTGGGCCTTCAGGCAGGAAGCAGATAGGCAGCACCCAAGACTTGAATGGTACCTACCAAAATGTGTTGGAAGGTCTAGATAATTACATGACCACATGTGCTGTTGTTTTGTGCTTTTGGTCCATAGGTTTAGAGATGTTGCAGCTGAGAGGACAAACTACTTGCGCGGCTTTATGGCTCAGCCTGGGCCATTTCATGCCCTGAAACCTGGAGCCTGCACTAGTCCCTTTCATTTCACTACAGTTCACTGCTGGCAAAGAACCCAGCATCAGGAGACTAGCCGGAGATATCAGCCATGCGAGGTCCAAAAGTGGAGAAAGATTCATTGTGCATGTCTTGGAAGTCATTCTTTGCACTGATGTCCTGAGCTTGTTTCGTGGTTCATGGTCCAGCTATGGAATTGTTCGGTGTCTATTGCCTGCACACCAAATGAGTGGCCTTTTCCTGCAGCATTTTGGAGAACAATTCTGACAATTGAGCTTAAAGTCTATTTTCACACACAAGTCCAACAACTCCAGGAAATAAATGCGGTAGATGGGCCCGTTAGTGCGGTCGGATGTTTAGTGGCTGTGCGCCAGGTGACTAGCAAAGAGGCCTTGCCGAAACATGTGGACAAGGCGGGTTTGCCAGATGTGCAGATCATGGATACGATCGATAGGGCATGATAAGGCAAAACCCTCAAGAGCAATGGACTCCGCTTGGGAAAAGGAGTTAAAAGCTGAGCTATCCAAACTTCAGTGTTGCCCAGAAGGCCCAAACACCTGAGGACAATCAGACACATAGATGAAAGCTCGCTTGCTTGGTGGAGTGTGTTTTCACAACTATACTGTGTATATAATTGTATATATATATATTACAAATATATATATATACACAGTATGTATATGTAACAACTATACAGTATATATATATATATGTAATTATGTGTATGTATGTATTTTTCGGGGCCAGTCCCCTAAGGCCCAGTCGTTAGGTGTGAACGAGATCGGACGCCAGGATTGGTTCTCACCGGGCGACCGGCCGAGCGACCCCTTGCGAGACATCGTGCCCGAAGCCTCAGTCCCTGAGGTCCTTTTCAATGTGGATGGTACCATCACCAGAGAGGTTCCACTATGTTCCACTTGGTTGTTTCTACATAATCTACAGAATGTTGCTACATTTGCTTTCAGCATTGTTTTCCTATGGTGTCCTGCATTTTCCCCTTGTTCCATGAGATGGGGAGTGGCAAAGTGATTTTTGCTCTCCAGGAAAGGGAGGTGAATCCACATAGCTGCCGTTTGCCGGTCAGCTGCTGTTTGCCGGTCGATATCATTCTTTGTACAGTGCAATGCACAGTGAATTTTGTTCCCTTGTGTTACTTTTGCGTTGGTTCTGTCTTGAAATCAGGAGTTACTTCTGTGCTGGTCGGGTTCGGTGATGTAGTTCAGTTTAACAAAGCTGGCTAGATCTGGCGTTCTTCTGATCCAGTTTTTTTCATCAGCCTGGCTGAGGCATGGGACCTATCGCTTCAAGTTCCAAGCTTGGCCCAACAAGCAGATGCTTAGCACGCCAGGGGCCGAGCTCAACTCCCCAACTTGAACACCTAAGCCTAAGGGGCCTTGCTGTGACATTTGGATGCCTCCATGTTGGCCTGGCTTCCTTTGAGGCTGCCTCATATTGTACAGTATGCCTTCAAGTCCCATGGCACGACCTTCCCAACGGAAGGCCGCTATACCTACCGTACTGGTGTAGGAGGGCCAAGGGTTCGAGAGGTCAGGGGGTTCCAGTGAAATTGGACAACGGAAGGAGCCTAGTATTAGAAGGAGGCAGGTAGTTATACAATTAGTATAGAGGGCGTCAATCTAGTTGGCAATTGGCAAGTTCACAAGGAGCTCAACAAAGAACCAAGGAGTTTCCAAAGTTTCGCAGAGAATCCACCCACGATACACATAGCTGCAACAGGCGCTGCTGCAGAGCCGCCCACGAAGACCGTGGCTACACAGTCGGTCTACCGGGAGCAGGGCCTCCCAGTTTGTTGTGAAATCCATCAACAAAACTTAGTGGATTTAGAGGGGATGCAGGATCTAATTACATGAGATTTGCATGTGCTATCAATCATGTCCCACCTGAGTCATTAGGATCTAAATTTGGATGTAAACCTGATGCGAAGCCCATGTGCAATGCCTGTTTGCTGGCAAGTCACTTGATGCGAAGCCATGCGAAGCCTCACCAAAGAATTGGGTTACATATCGAACAGATGGAGGGCTGTCTCGCCGATCTTCATCGCTTCATCGCTGGCCAGGTCGGAGGCCCAAACGGATCCGTACTCACCGGACTATCAGATCCCTAGCCAGGCCAGGCAGCTGGGGAGAGGGTGGTGCTACAGGCGCTATAGGCTACAGATGGTTACAGGGCTTGAGTTTGGGGGATATGGTGTTGAGAATTCTCGAGACATTCCTGCATTGGCATTCATAGAGAGAAGTAGAGTCTCCTGTGATTCTTCCAAGCTAGTCATTTTTGACACATTTATGAAATTCATGCATCGATCGACTTTCAACAAGAAAGAAACACGTATTCTTTTGCCCCCCGTGTGTTGAGATTGTTGGACTTGAAAGGATTAGTTAGGAGTTGTGCTTGAAGCATCTCAACGGAGAGAGCTGTTTTAGAGCGAAGCTATCCTGGAAGATGGAAGTCTCAGAAGCTCCCTCCAGCTGCAGGTACCTGAGGTTCTTCAGCTGACGCACCTCACATACGGCCTGGGACGCCCAGCAAGCCATGCGTAAGAGAGGCGGTCGAACAGACGCCCTTGTCGCCTAGACCCACTTGTGTTTACAAGTAGTTCCCGGGCAAGCCGGCGGCGGAAGTTTCCTATAAGAACAAATTGACCTATAGGAGTGTCCACGTTCTCTCCAACATGCGCGTCCTCCAGTCAAACCCACGGGATTCCACGTGTGTAAGGTGTGTGCCCCCTGCAGGATCAGCAGCTCACAACAGCGTACTGGGTTGTATCTTTGCCACGACAAGAGGGGTGTATGACGAGTGGTGTATGATGAGTGGTGTATGACGAGTGGTGTATGATGAGTGTTGTATGCTGAGTGGTGTATGATGAGTGGTGTATTGACCAGCAGTTGAATGTCCTGTCCTGCATAAATGCAACCAAATACTATCAGTATGAACTGTGCCAAACCTGCACACCGCGAGAGATGACTCAGCAGCGAGAGATGACTCAGCCGCGAGAGATGGCTATAGCGAGAGCTGACTCAGCAGCGAGAGATAATGGAGCAGCGAGAGATGACTCAGTCGCGAGAGATGACTCACAGCAGCGAGAGCTGACTCAGCAGCGAGAGATGACTCCTCCGCGTACTACACTTGTACTACAAAGTGGCCAGTTCTCAGCTTCCAGCTCCACAGGTTGTTCCGCGTGCTAAAGTTGTACTAGAAAGTCGCCAGTCAGTTCTCATCTTCCAGCTCCCCAGATGCTCCGCGTAAAGTTGTACTTGAAAGTCGCCAGTTCTCAGCTTCCAGCTCTACAGATTGCTCCGCGTACTAAAGTTGTACTAGAAAGTCGCCAGTTCTCAGCTTCCAGATCCACAGATACTCCGCGTACTAAAGTTGTACTACAAAGTCGCCAGTTCTCGGCTTCTAGCTGCACAGATTGCTCCGCGTACTAAAGTTGTACTAGAAAGTCGCCAGTTCTCAGCTTCCAGCTCCACAGATACTCCGCGTACAAAAGTTGTACTACAAAGTCGCCAGTTCTCAGCTTCTAGCTGCACAGATTGCTCCGCGTACTAAAGTTGTACTAGAAAGTCGCCAGTTCTCAGCTTCCAGCTCCACAGCTACTCCGCGTACTAAAGTTGTACTACAAAGTCGCCAGTTCTCATCGTCCAGCTCGCCAGATGCTCCGCGTACTAAAGTTGTACTACAAAGTCGCCAGTTCTCAGCTTCCAGCTCCCCAGATGCTGTGCCTGCCACGAAATCTGCACCTGGAGGTTCACAAAGTGCTGCACCTGCCACGAAATCTGCACATGGAGGTTCACAAAGCGCTGCACCTGCCACGACATCTGCACATGGAGGTTCACAAAGTGCTGCACCTACCACGACATCTGCACATGGAGGTTCACAAAGTGCTGCGCCTGCCACGAAATCTGCACATGGAGGTTCACAAAGTGCTGCACCTGCCACGAAATCTGCACATGGAGGTTCACAAAGTGCTGCACCTGCCACCACATCTGCACATGGAGGTTCACAAAGTGCTGTGCCTGCCAGGAAATCTGCACATGGAGGTGCACAAAGTGCTGCACCTGCCACGAAATCTGCACATGGAGGTTCACAAAGTGCTGCGCGTGCCACGAAATCTTCACTTCAAGAAACAAGTGAAAACTCTAATCCCAATGGACGGACGATTCCGAGAATGACCCGAGACCGTCTCGCAACCGTCGTTCCGCAGACCTTGCCTTACCAGCTTCGGAGCCACCGGTTCCATTGAAAAATACAGCATTTCGTGGCTTCGCTATCTCTCCAGAACGCATTTTGTCTTGCGTCCACGAAATCTGCACATGGAGGTGCACAAAGTGCTGTGCCTGTCACGAAATCTGCACATGGAGGTTCACAAAGTGCTGCACCTACCACGACATCTGCACATGGAGGTTCACAAAGTGCTGCACCTGCCACGAAATCTGCACATGGAGGTTCACAAAGTGCTGCACCTGCCACGAAATCTGCACCTGGAGCTGGAGTTGCCTGGAGCTTGAGCTGTTGAAACCAGAGCTGGTGTATGAGCGGTGTATGATGACTGGTGTATGATGAGGGGTGTATGACACGTGATGAATGGTGAGTGGTGTATGATGAGTGGTGTATGATGAGTGGTGTATGATGAGT